TGTGTGTATCTGAGGGCTCTGTGTGTCTCTGAGGACTGTGTGTGTATCTGAGGGCTCTGTGTGTCTCTGAGGACTCTGTGTCTCTGAGGGCTCTGTGTGTCTCTGAGGGCTCTGTGTGTCTCTGAGGACTGTGTGTGTATCTGAGGGCTCTGTGTGTCTCTGAGGACTCTGTGTATCTCTGAGGGCTCTGTGTGTCTCTGAGGGCTCTGTGTGTCTCTGAGGACTGATTTGTTCCCAGAATTTCCCTGCAGCCGGGGTGAAAATTCCGTATTATAGTCATGTGATCGGCCTGGTATCATCACCTGGAGTTGCCTTCCTCAAGTTTGGTTGATGGGCATTAGTCTTTTTCATGCTGCGTCACAGCACGTCTCTCTCACCTGATTGGGTATTTCATACGGATTGAACGTCGTTCCTCCGCCTTCTCCAGTCTGGATGGACCAGCTGAGGCTCTGCAAGGAAAATAAACCTTCAGTGAATGGAGTCTGGATGAGATCTTGACGGATTCACCATGAGACCTCTGCGGGCCTGTGTCTAGGGGGAAGATATTGTTTATTCTGGTTGGTGGGAGTATATCGGGGGAAATCCAGAAACCGCCATGTTCAGAACAAGCTCCAGAAACATGACACTGTTCATTCTCAGCCTACTTAATTGTATAGAGGTAGCGATGTTGGGCAGACCCTTCCCCCTTGACCAATCACATTTGAGGGTGATAACCTGTCAGGTGTAGGGAAAATTCCGGTCTCTAAAGTGGTTGTAGGTTATATGGACCAGCCAGGTTTTCTGACCCCAGTGTATCATCCCCATCACAGCAAGTCCAAACACCACATGACTGCTGGGGGCGGGGTCCAAACACCACATGACTGCTGGGGGCGGGGTCCAAACACCACATGACTACTGGGGGCGGGGTCCAAACACCACATGACTGCTGGGGGCGGGATCACCTCCCTGATACTAATCCCACCGATTATCTGCACAGAAGTCAGCATGCCGGCGGCTCCCCCAGTCTCTGGGCTGACTTTGGTGTTGGGGGTTTTAGGGCGATCACAGGAAGCTCACTGGATTTCCTGAAGGATCAGAGGCTTAAAGAGACAGTACATGGGGAAATGTTCATGTATTGTAGACTTGCTGTATGTACTTCCCTCACATACAATGTACATGTGTCCTGTGTGTCCTCCTCCAATGACATGTGTGTCTCCGCAGGCGGTGGAGGACGGGGTGGGCTTGCCGTTGTCTGTGCAGTGCGTGGCTTTGCCGTACCAGGACGAGCTCTGCCTGCGCCTCATGAAGGAAGTCCAGACCCTCCACACGCGGCGGCAGATGAAGAGGAGCGCTCCGGGTCGCGGCTCCGGAACGGGATTTGTTGGAGATTTTCCTTCAGCTTCCGAGAGAGAAAAGTTCTGACCCGAGAAACCGCCGATTCACTTCTGTACCCGATCACGCGTGACGTCTGTATCCGCCTTGTATGTACACCAACCACACGTGACGTCTGTATCCGCCTTGCATGTCCCATGTACACCAATCACGCGTGACATCTGTATCCGCCTTGCATGTCCCATGTACACCAATCACACGTGACGTCTGTATCCGCCTTGTATGTCCCATG